CCAACTCAAAGAGCTGGGCGTCGAGCCTGCACGATCACGTCGCTACCTCCTACACTGGCGCGAGAAGTTTCGAAACGGGGAGTACGGCATCGGAGGAGATTGCCAGCACGTCACAGACGGAGTCGCCGAATTACGATTAGTCGAGGCACCAGTAGTGCCGACAGTTTTGCGGGAGGGAGGAGGTAGTATGAGTAGAAGGAGTGCTGTTGCGACGGCGACGCATACACCTGGGACACGGAGGGTGGTTGTGAATGTGCCGGCTGGGGCGGAGCCGCCTAATGAGAGCCTGGAGGGGTTGAGAGGGATCAAGGGGATTGTGGTTAAGGGGTCTAAGAAGATTAAGGGGCCATATGTTGAGACTGTGAAGGGAAGTGGGGGCTTGAAAGCTAAGATTAAGTTGCAGGAGGGGATTTGGGAGGAGAGGAGGGGACATAAGGTTGATGGCGGTGAGAGGAGGAAGGCTGAGGTTAGGGCGAAGAGAAGGGCGGCTGAGAATAAGGAGAAGAGGAGGTAGGTTGGTGGATGATGGGCCTGAGGAGGGGTGATGGGTTGGATTTCTACGTCCTGTTTGAGTATAGGAAGAGTTTCCTGCGCATACTGAAGCGCGTCTATATGGAACAATGGTGCATTGGGGCACTTGGATAAGTGCTCAGTCATAGGCTGTAGGGAGCTGTACAGTATGTTATTATTTAAGTATGCAAGAACAAACATGCATCAATTCCTAGGACCATCCAACCACTGGTCTACCTTCTCCTACGAGTTCATGATGTAAAACGATATATCATTGTGTATTCGACATCATGTGCCCATTCCTTTTTCAGACCTCTTTGCGTCACTCCCTACAATGCACAAAACTCCATTTTCATAACATCAAAAGAGGACAAAAGAATACAAGCGCACGCCAGAACACGTTTATTAGAGTTAAAGATTCCTCAAAAGAAAAAAAAAAAGGACCCCACGATTCGAACAGCGAAAAGATGTCGGCGGCGTACATTGGCTTCCCGTATCGGCAATGGCAGGCAGCGGCAGGCAGCGGCAGGCATTGGTGGTGGCAGTAGCTTGAGAACGGAAAGTGCACTCACCAATAGATGCATCCCTTTCCACTGAGCTATCCCAGCAGCTTATGATTGTTTTTAAGCGAAGTGTGGGTTACTTAGTATATATAATAGATTGAAAAGTGGGAAAGGGTATGGGAATAGACTTTGGTAGGGAGAAGTGGAAATATGGAAGGGAAGGTGGGTCTGCTGGGGAGAGAAGGCATGATTTTCTGGTAGGAGCGGGGAATTGAAGCGGTAAGGTATGCTAGGAGCACATACTAGGGCGTGAGAACGGAACTGGGTATTAAACCGGTCTATCATATGGCTGGGAATTGGGAGTTTAGGAGATGAAGGGCGATGGTATGGTGACGTGATTTGAGTGCTATATTGGGTCTAATTTTCCCTCACTGTTACACAGATATCGGGCAGTAATATACTTAAACAGACATTCAATATAGTACGCTAGCAACACCTGCCATTACGACGCTCTTATGCATAGATATATCAAGATAAATGGGCCTTCGGAGGGGTTTATTTCAGAGAAGGGACGGTATTAGTAGGAGGCTAGTATTATGGGGCTAGGAGTAATGAAAGGTGAATGAAACAGCAAATAGGAGGAAGCTTTGAGAAGATGGTAGCATGAAGGAGATTAAAGGATTGGATGGAAATGCGATCTGCCAATACCCATATCCAGCAACTGTCTTGGAGACGGTTAGGCGCGCGTACGGCACAGCACGTTGACGACACGTTCGCTAAAGACGCCCTGAGAAACTGGTATGTCGGTGGCAAGAAGGCTCTAGAGTTGTTTGGTTAGGGGAAGGAATCGTAGAAGCAGCAGGCTGATCTTAGGGGAGGAGGGGAACTGAAGCATAAAGTAAGCGGCAAACAGGAAGAAGGTGAGAAGTTTTCAGAAATTGTTCTGTTTTCATATGATATTCACTAACTATATGGTGACAGGATCAGAGTAAAGCTAGCTCGACCATATTTAGAGAATATGAGCCAATTGGGACATACACCATCAAGTTAACTCTCAGAGCAACACCACGCCACCTAATCTGCTCACTCAACGTCTTTATCCTACTCCGTCAAATCTGCCACCACATCCTCTTCCCTCCTCCTCACTATCTCATCAACCATCTTATGAATCTCATTCCCCATCATCTACCACTTCTTCATCTCCTCTACCCTTCCGACCAGCCACTCCTTTCCTGTGATCGGATCCCGGATCTTTTCATTGCATTTCAACCACCTATAACAAATGTACACGTAGTTGCGAATCCTCAGGGTGAACCCTCATCCACTCCATCTCAGGCTCGGCTGGGTGAAAATCCATAACATAGCGCTGTCCTTTGCTAGACCTCTCGCGGAGTTCGCCCCTTAAATAGTGCCCCTCGATACCTCGTGGCGTGCCTCGACAGAAGATATTGTAAGAGTCGAAGGCGTACTGCTCAAATCCCTGGAAATGTTCTGCGAGATGAGGTAGACTCGATGTAAGTCTTGCTTAGCTCAGCTTCATGGTCATGGCTCGGAGAAGTAGTTGGAATGGCTTTGTACGAGAACTTCTTCAGGATATCGAAGACGGCAGTATGAAGCTCTCCAAGTCTGTAGCATGCATCGAGTCCAGCATCTCTCTTTCGTTGCGCAAAGCTCTTGGAGACGGTGAGGATCTTTGCAGGCGTGAGTTTCGGCCCAGCGGCGACATCGAGATCCTCCGGTTCATTATAGTTCGGCTTGGTTTTGTCGAGATTCCTGGTCGTTCGTCGGACGTGGAGATTTGGCACCTGAGCTTCTACAAGGCCCATGGAGACTCCATTCCCCGTGCCATGAGCAAACACTTGGGAAGCTTCACCCTCGCTGTCCTTGTCGACTTCCTCGTTTTCCTCGTTGCTATCCTGGTAAAGAGAGAAGCAATCTCATGACTTAGTGTATTCATCATCCTCTTCTTCGTCCACCTCTTCATGATGCACTTCATAATGTACTTCGTCCTCTACCTCGTCATCTTGTTCATCCTCCACAATACGCCTGGCTGTACGTCTCCTCCTGGTCTGTCCTCAGTCAGACGCTCCTTGGCTCCATACATCTGTTCTTCCTTCGTCTTACCATGTTCTATCCTCCATCGGACGCTTCGGGCGATAAGAGGCTCGCTGTCCGATGACGACGTATCCAGCCTACCCTCGTATTCTTTTGCCGAAGTTGACGGGGCTTCTGGCACCCGCTGTGGGGATGCATCTCCATCTGGAGCTCTCTGTTGCTGCGGTGCTGTCCGAAGAGCTGCAGCTTCCTCTGTCTCGATCAGTGTTGGCTCTGGCACCGTGGGTTGGACCGGCACTGGAGGTTTCGCGACTAGTTCTAGAGGTTGACCTAGTGACATGACCAGGCCTCGTGCTGGCGGTGTGGGTAAAACTGGTGGTGGCTTGTTGAACTGGTTCTGACACCAGAGATCGGTCTGACACTAGGTTTCTACGTCGGACTGGGTCTGCGTGTTGAACTGGCGTTGACTGTTCACCTAACGCAGGCTCTTCCTCACGCTCCGGTGGGTGCTCAGGCCCCTAGAGGAGCTCGAGTCTCAGAAGATCTTCCGATCTTACGCTCGGTGCTGTGGGTTGAATCCGCACTCTGTCTGACAGCATATCAATGTTATTCGAATTGAGGCTGGTCCTAGGAGCGTGGCAAGCGAGTCAAGCAGGTGCCGGCTTTGATTCTACCTTTTGCTCTAGCCGTGGGTCTCGTTCGTTCTTCCTCTCGCTTCCACTTTCGTCCGGTCCCAGACTTGCGCTCAGATAGACTACCCTTGGGGTGGAAAAGTTTCTTCTGTGGGCAGTTGATAGCCTTATGCGGGGGGTCGGTCTTCTCGCGGCAGAAGTAGCAGAAGCCATTGCAACGTAAGTACTCCCGCTCCTCAGGAATGAGATTGAACTTCTTCTTTCGGAAGGCTTGATTGTCGACGGGTGGAAGTGCTGGAGGACGAGAGGCAACAGTTGAGACTGAGGAGCGGGCAGGTTGGAGTAGGTTCTCGTGTTGAAGGTCGCCAGATGAAGGTTGGTCGGCTGGACGATTATCTGTTGGGGGCTGTCTATCGGCGGCCAATCTCGCTTGAGTCCGCTCTTTGAATTGACGGGACTTCTTATAGTCTACCAATTTTACCACCTTTCGTGGTGGATTAGCTAGAGAAGCGATGGAATCGTTGGCGGTTTCCATAGGGCCATCACTCGCACCGTCTAAAGGGGATTTGGGTTGACCGCGTATCCTGAGATACGGCTGGTAAGGCTTCAGTTCTGTGGCTAATGCGGTTGAGTAGGATAATGGAAGGGTGAAAAGAAAAGAAGAATTTTTGTTTTGGGGTAGTCATGTTGACTGTGTGATTGGACATACTAGGTTTAACGGCACTCACCGGCGGGAGAAATTGCAGGGGGCTAATATCTGTCCACCTCTTTCACTACCCGTCTATTCCTCTGACACCGAAGATATTCGTAAAGGGCGAGGAAAAGATCTCACGCAGGGAACAGAAAAGGTGGCTCACTAGAAACGTGCTCTAGTCCTTTACCTTCCCGTCTACTCTATATCCCCGACTGAATTCATAATCTTTTTATCCAAGGATCTAGGCCGAGCTCCACAAAACCCGTGTAGCCATAAATTATAGGCGAAGTGGAGCTAGATAAAGGTTGCTGGAGGTAGTGTAATTTGGGGTCCACGTTCCAAGCATTCCTCTTTCTTCACACCTGGCGTGGGTTCGTCTAACGAACTCTGCCCTTCTGTAGTATGCAGAAATCCACAATGCAGACTGGGGAAGACTGGCATGATTTGACTTTTTTGAAGCTCCAATGAAGAAGTGGATAAATAGATACGTGAACTGACAAGACGAATACTAGCCTTCTTAAAAATTGAAAAGGAAAACCATACACTTTTTACTATTTTGCCTCATTATATATATTAATTAACTTTCAAAATCCCTAAAAAAAAACAGGGTACATAGTTCAGTGGTAGAACGCTCGTCACAATTGCCCCAGGTATTCCCCACGGTATTCCCCCAATTCTTTAGCTTGGTGGCGAGAAACGTTGGTTCGATTCCAGCTATACTCCTTACCTTGTTTTCCTTTCCTTTTTTCCTAGACTTTTCCCTTTCCTCCTCTTTTTACTTCGTGAAGGCCAGAGTGTAAGAAAGAAGTGTTGCCGAAGTGGTAAAATCCAATACTTACAAGTAAACTCGTAGTATACACCTTTCCAAGCAGTTATGAAACTTCGGCAATAAGAAAACAGAAAACCAAAGGAGGGACCGTTCCTCTTGCATCTTACCTTTGGTCTAACTACTTATATATATTAATTACTTTTTAGAATTGTCAGAAATACTGGGTATATACTTCAGTGGTAGAACACGATCCTGAGTCAGATTGCCCCATTTTATCCCCCATTCACTTCGATGGCGAGAGCCGTTGGTTCAATTCCAGCTGTACTCCTTCTGTTCCTTTTCTTTTTTGATCTCTTCTCTTTTATCGTCTTTGTGAATGCAAAGGAGGGAGAGATGAGTGTGGGTGAAGTGGTATATCCTACTTTTTACGTATTACAATGCTGTTTTCGGCGGATACATGGCACCCCCGCAGGGAGAATCCAGTGCCTTTTACTTTTGTTGCCTCCTATATATTTTAGTTAATCTTGGAAATTGCCTAAAGCCCTGGGCACATAATTCAGTGAGAGAATACTCGCCTTCGTCAGATTGCCCTATATCATCCCCTATCCACTATGTGGGCGAGAGCCGTGGGTTCGATTCCGGCTGTTACCTTTGTTTCTTTCTTTTTGCCCATTTTTTTTTCCTCCTCTACGTTTTGTACGTGAATGTCAAGATGTGGAAGAGAAGTGAGCGAAGGAATATGGCCTGCTCTTCATGTATGAGGGAGTATGTGGCTGCCTTCGAAGTATATATGCATGACATCTGTGCAAAGGAATTCCGTGGCGGTGGTCCATGATAGCCCCCTTGTTTTACATCACAGAATTGGCGTAACTTGAAAAGAGTAGACATAAATATCCTTCAGAACGAGCCAGTTCTTATGTGCTCGGTTAAATCGGGATGGTGTTGTGAGTCTTTCTCTGGAGACATTTGAAGACATGACACCCAGTAATGCAATCCCAAGCTCTTTCTATTGATGTCTCTGCCATCTTCTGAGCAAGTTTGATGTCCCTCCAGTGTATTCCAGGAAGCTCCACCATGCGAAGCTTGTGCCCAACAGAGACAGTCTTCAAGGCAGTGTACAATTTTTGCAATGAGAACTGTGAGAAATAAGACCGGATGGATCAAATAAGCGAATAATACTGAAATATCGAGAGTTGCGGTCTATTTGAAGCCTTCGAAAGTAGGACTGAGGTTGATGTTGACGTTGAAGGCCGTCATGGCGTTCGCTAGCGCGTCCTGACCCTCGTCGTTTCCTTAGCTCACTAACAGAACGTTTTCCACACACGTCAATCTTTGCCTAGTCCGCTCTGATGTTTTAAGGCTCTTCGATTTGAAGAGTTTAAACTAATTTTAACTCTTTATTTGATTCTTGCGCTCTCGCAGATACCTGCCGTTTTGCTCTCTTGCGCACTTGGGCAGTTCATTGGATCAAATTTCTCTTAATTGCTACATATTGATTTTTTTCAGAAAATGTTAAACTTGTCCTTCCTTCCCATCTCTTTCTCTTCTGGACGTCATGGCATTGTTCAGTCCTCCCTATGGTACAGCTCAGCAGACAAGCTCAGCGACCTTCCTCATCCATGTATGGTGGGCGTCTTCAGTACAGGCCTCCTCATCCAATGAATATCGATGGGTCTTCAATTACTTTAGACGGGCGGCATGTTAGCATCCACGCATCTCATCAATACGAAGCCTGGGTGTGCATCTACGCGAGCTCAGCACCGACCTCAGGCCATTCATCCTTACCCTACACGGCTAGGCTCGGTTAACATATGTTCCGGTCCGTTTCAACGTCATACTTAATGTCTCTCAGTTAATTTGCTCTTCAACTCTTGGGTTAGCATTCAGCCACTTATCGTATCTTACTGTGGGACTCTGGTAGGTGGAAGCCGTTGAGTGAATGCTTTTTTCGACCCTGTTGTATGGTGATTCTTTCATACACTTATTTCTTGGCGTTCGAACACGAGCGTTTAGGAACGTGTGGAGCAGCCATACTTCAAACCCCGGTCTCACGTAAAATCCACCGAACCTAATAACGTTGGACAAATACAATGGCTGACCTTACCTACGCTGTCCTGGCTTTGCTACCCCTGGTGGCCTGGTACCTCTACTCGCAATTCGTCCACTGGCGCTTCAATAAATACAAATATATTCCTCACTTACCTCAATCCCTCCTCCTCGGTAATCTAAAGACATTCGCAGACTTTTACAAGATGGGAGACGGAAGGCGCCATGTTGGTGCGTTTTCTCACTTTCTCATATTTGCTTCCACCACCTGACCAGCATACAGACTATGTCTTGAAAGACATGTTCAAAGCTGCCGGGAATCCTCCGATACTTTTCTGCGACATCCGTCCCGTCAACTATGCTATGACATGTGTTGCTTCCCATGACATTGCGGAGCAATGCACAAGGGCGACCAAGTTGTTCCCCAACAGCGTTCCCAAATCACCAACTATACAGGGCGGATTGAGGAGGTTGATTGGCGCCAAATCAATTCTTTCTGAAGAGGTATTTTCGATTTCATTGCTATCAAATTTTGGATCATTTCTGCCTGAGCGCCTGTGATTCCACACTGGTTTATAAAACCGCCGGCCTTCAATTTTGTATCTTTACATCATCGACTCTATTTTCCCTAGGCCAATTATCGCTCTCCTACTAAAAACATTAGGGCGAATCATGGAAAACCCTCCGCAAACGCTTCAACATCGGCTTCGCACCCCACCACCTCCTCACCCTTCTCCCCCAAATACTCCAGAAAACCTCCATCTTCATGTCAAAACTCGACTCCTTTGCCCAATCCGGCGCTGAATTCGATATGGACCCTCTCACAACCAACCTGACCTTTGACATCATCGGAGCCATTGTCATGAACGCTGAGTTCAATGCGCAAGGTAAAGAATCCGAGTCTAGCGACATCGTGAAGCACTTCTGCCGCCTCATCACTACCTTCGCCGACACCGGCCGCGTCTGGATCTGGCTCAACATTCCCGTCCGAATAAAGAGAGAGATCGCTGCGTATAAAGTTAATGCGGCAATAAAATGCGCCATCGAGCAGAAGTTTTCTGAGATCAAAGCTGCGCAGAGTACGGCTACTCGATCTACAAAAGATCGCTCTGTACTGGCTCTCGCGTTGCAGGATACAGATAAACTAACCCCTGACATTCTACAAAGCACCGCTGATCAGGTCAAGACGTTTTTATTCGCGGGCCACGATACTACATCGGTTCTCCTCCAACGACTTTTCTACGCACTCTCAATTCATCCAAATGTCCTCGCTTCCCTCCGCGCCGAACATGACGCCATCTTCGGCTCTGCAGACCCGCAGAAAATCTTCCTCGCCAAACCAGACGAAACAATGAAATCCCTCACCTACACCTCCGCCTGCATAAAAGAAGCGCTTCGTCTCTGGCCACCGGCTGGTTCCGCTCGCCGTGCACCCCCTGGCAGCGGCTTCAGCGTTCGAACTGAAGATGGAGAGGACCTCTGCGTTGATGGAACAGTGATATATCTCTGCCAATACCTGATCCAACGCGATCCGAAAGTGTATGGCGAGACGGCGAATGACTTTGTGCCTGAGCGGTGGTTGGGTGATACGGATACAAGTGCTGCTAATAATGTTGATGCTGAGGTGCATAAAGGAGAGGCAAGTAGAGTCCCGAGAAGTGCTTGGAGACCGTTTGAACGGGGCCCGAGGAATTGTATTGGGCAGGAGTTGGCGAATTTGGAGGCGAGGGTTATTTTGGCGTGTGTGGTGCGGAGGTATGACTTTATCAAAGTTGGAGCGGGAGAGGTGGAGTGTGATGAGAAGGGGGTACCGATGGTGGATGAGAAGGGGGTGTTTAGGACGAAGAGTGAGCTCTTTAGTGTAAGAAAACACTCCTTCTAATTCTTGTTTTCAAAGCGGTGACTGATATTCTATAGTCGATGCAGGTTACCTCGAAACCATTTGACCGTTGTCGGATGCGGATTAAGATGCATGAACCTGAGGGGTAAATGCATCTCTTCGACTGGGGCTTGGATGCAAGGTTCTCGACTGCCTAATTTGAGTTACAAGAATTAATTGGGAATGTTTGGGTATGTGACAAGCATATAGACCTATGAACTCATGATATTGGCAAATTCGCTTGTATCCAACACTTGCCCGCATGCAGACTGTCGTAATGCACCTTCCCTATCCTTGATGCGCACCTGGCGAACATACTCCTTCAACGGCAGCGCCATCATCCTCCACCACAAACAAAAGTCACTGCTCAAAATACGTCATAACCAACCATTCCTCAAATGACGGCCCGCACGGCGACACATACTCATTCACTGTCATTATTGTAAGCCCGTCCTTCTTTGCCTCTGCCCACTCTTCCTTTGTCGCGCGATTGACATGCTTCCAATGCTCTTCATCAAGATTCTCCCTTTCTATCATTCCATCGCGATCAGACCCAAGCACGCAGTGCGCGCCATCTTCGCTCGGCTCAAGGTACAGGTTCTAGTAATAGCAGCCCTGCTGGCCTATGTAGAATGGGAGCAGCTACCCGCCTGCATCACCGTATAGTGCGGCGGGCATCTTGCATAGTTTATTGGCGCTGGTGTAACAGGTGCCAGTGCTCGGGATCTGAGCTACGAGCTCCAAACTGGTCATGAATTTGACGAAGCTTTAGCCCACGCTGTCGCACGTTTCTTGTAGCTTCTCAAGCTTAACTTCGTCTAGGATAGAGGAAATCTTGTACGCGCCCATTCCCTCGTCCGTCCTTTCGTCTAGTGGCCCCAGCCATGAAAGGTTCGCCTTGGCATCGAGATACTCAAGGGCGCTTTCAAATTTGATGTCTTGGGAATCGAAAAGCTCGGTTGAGGTGGAGATGCCGAAATCAAGTCGGTGTCCATCTAACTGCGTGTCAGCCTCGTAAAGGCGTTGAAGCGAGAGGCCAGGCGTTTCGCGTGGAGGCGCCAGGTGGAGAGTGGCTTGAGAAGGGGAACGCAAGTGTAGGTGATGATTTTGTTCATAGTCAGGGCTAGCGATTCGATGTCACGTGTTAGAAGGTAGTCTAGTCATGAGGAGTTCTTTTGGGATTGTGGAGAGGGACATGGTGGTGGACGGTGTAGTTGTTCGGTGTTAAAGGATGCGGAGGGGGAGTAGGAAAAAAAGGCGCGTACATGTGCAGAACCTACCTGCACACTTTCGATTTCTACTACATGCACATCTGCTTCCTCTTCAGGATCAGTGTGAGGCGGAAGAACGTGCGGTCGATCTCTTTCAGACTCCAATGCTGCGTCTTCCGCATCTCACCCATT